TAGGCTCGGATCGTTCGCCCGAAAAGGTGACATCTTAAACGTGGCCTCAGTGAAGTTCTTCGGGCTCCCGAATTTGCTTCCGGCGCATCGGCACTCCGCCAAACCATAGCCTTCGAGATCTTTTTCTGAATTTCCCAGAGGTGGCGGCCGCTGCTGAGGCGACGATTTGGGCAACATAGCCAATTAAGAGTTAGTACAAAAATATATGCACAACCAAGAGGTTTCGCAAGCGGTCACTCCATCATCGCCCGAGAGCTTATAATTACACAGTACGGCACATTAGGCGCATAATGCGTTCGCGTTCACCTTAGACGTCTAATCTCCGACGCACGCGATTGTTCTTTTTCTCACAACGCGTCGTTCGGTCGTTCGGTGATGTGCGCATGCACCCGAACTTTTCACCTATACCGCTCGTTTGACCCTGAACGCCTGCATATGGCGGCTAGCACGACTTCATTTATTGTTCCTAGAGTCACGACTTAAAGAGTGAGAGAGAAAGATAGCCTAGCCGGTGAAACCTCGAGTCAAGGCTTGTTAGCACCTCTAAGGTGGCAAAGACAAGCTCAGGTCATGCACCGGAGAAGTGTGCGGGGCCTTGGAGAGCAAGTTCCTTCTTTCGTTTTAGTTTCTTGTTTGGAGCGCCTGCCTTGCGATGCTTCCGAGCCCGCTCGCTCTTGAAAAAGACCATTAATTACTCGAGGGGCACTGCCGGTTGAAGGCGTTGCCAAACACGTGTCGATATATTAAAAAAAATAAACGCTTTCTCTTTTCGCGTTTATAATCTTATCTTATACACACGCTCCTGCCTATCGTCCGCATGGCTATACGGAACGGTATAAGAACAATATTTCCATTACATATCTGTTGTTATCTTCGCCATGTTTGAAGACGATGTTCTTAGTTCACCAAGTTTTGTGTTCTAGGATATGCAAGTTTTTTCTTCGAGGCGAAAGTCGTGTGTTCGATCCCAGCCCCGGTGGTCGCATTTCGATGGGGGTGATATGCCAAAGGCCCGTCTACTGTGCAGCATCACTGAAGAACGCCACATTGTCAAAGTTTCTGGAGTCCTCCACTACGTCGTTTCTCGTAATCATAATGTAATTTGGGGGCGTAAAACTTCACCAACGGTTATTATTAAACCTTCACCAACGGGTGTTTGCGCCCTTTGCAGCAGCAGTTATTTCGCGTAAGATATGTAGACCCACATAGTAGTACTTCGTCAACCAGCAGTGCTTCAAATCGATTTGGGAGCCTGCATAGTGGCCCGCCTGTGTAAGCTTTATAAAGTTTATTGTGTATGTATACTAAATTTAGGCAGCAGAGTTGCCCGTAGCTTTGGATACCAACCATAGGTATGCGGCGACGCCACAGTTCGTTCTAGCAGGCTGCATGCCTGTATACCGCGCCACCGATTGACATATCTGACGCGTCGAAAACAGGCGATAAACATGACTATCAATGACTACAGTGGAAAATCGTGTTGGCTGCAGCGTTTGCTTCGCGAAGCACGAAAGTCGGCCTGAGCGTCATCTTCTCCGCAATGTATGGGTTGGTACCAGCGTTTGTAAGACGGACGAGCTTACTCTGCTCTCTAAAAGCAGCATATAATGTAACCCTAAAGTTGATAGCCACATGGCGCCATCTTGCGGGAGCATTTTGTGTGTACGTCAGGAAGTGACGACAACTGCACGAGGTGCGGATCCCAGAGAGAGGCAGTGGTAGGGGAGGGAGTAAGCGTTATGATTGTAACGCATACACACACGCGCACACACACACACACACACACACACACACACACACACAAACACACACACACTCACACACACACGCTCACACACACACGCTCACTCACACACACACGCTCACACACACACACACACACACACACACACACACACACACACACACACACACAAAGATTTCCAAGTTATGCATCTTTACCAACCCGCCCAACTCGCCACACTCAACGCATCCTTTCGTTGAACGGGACCAAACGGTCGTTCGTCGCATATACATACGCGCGCGCTAACATTATGCAAAGGAGTCCACTGACATGCACACCGCGGGCCGCGCAGCATTGAAAGCCGACGCGAGAGAGCGGCGCGTCTTTCCACATCTTTCGCGCGCGGCCTCTGCAGCCAACAGGGCCGCCCCGACACCTAAGGGGGGCGCCGGCGTATAGACACCCCGCATTATTCATGTATGTGCATACGCGACGAGAGAGGGGACGACGTCGTCGGCGACGGAGGCCTCTGCGCGTACACACCAACGCCAGAGGCGAGAGACACCCCGGTGCGATCTCGTGAGGCCGTTCGACAACACCAACGCGCGCATAACGTTGCGAGACGCGCACGTGTTTGTGCGTGAGCGCGAAGCGACGGCCGGTGCTACGCCCTACACGTCGAGCTCGCGAGGAAGAAGAAGAAGGGGGGCGTGTCTGTCTAGGAGGAAGAGGACTGGCCGCCGCGCGGAAGGTGCCGCAGCGCACGCCTGTACATGTGTCAAGAAAAGCGCAAAATAAAATGAGTGAGAGAGAGTTGCAATATGACAGCCGTGGGACCGGACAGTGCGTGCGTGCGTGAGTGTTCGTGTGTGTGTGCGCGCGTATTTGTGCGTGTGAGCATCAGTGTGTGTGTGTGTGTGTGTGTGTGTGTTTGTGCGTGCGTGTGTTCCCCGGTCTCCGCGATGCTCTGGAGGGTGGAGAGGGTGCCAATTGTCGGCTCGGCCCGGTAATTAATCGGCGCTCCTGACACCGGGGTCAGCTGGTGCCATCGTTTAACTCTGGGAGCAGCGCCCCTCCTCCTCAGCGGGGAGGAATAGCCGCCAGCCGCTGTATACAGCATACTCGGCTCCCATATATGTACTGCACATGCTACAACACACGGCCACAGCTCGTTCTTTATATACACGCTAGTGGCGTTGTATATGTAACACGGCGCAGCAAATGAGCCACCGGTAGCTTCTCGCGAAGCGCATTATATAACGCGAGAGTGCAAATACGCACACCAAAGTGCATATAAGACAGGCTTTTGTACTCTATGGCAGCGCTGGTTTTATGACGTCTCCATACAAGCAGGCCTTATTCACGACGCCTTGTATATGAGTTAATGCGAATGTATAATCCATCGTCACGTTATCCTGTCTGTGGATCCGCGCACGCGGCGAACACTGAAAGGCCTCGCTGGGTTCATTGACATTGCCCTAACAATTAATCCCGTTTATATTCTCTTCATCGCACGTGACTGGTTATGCAACGCCGATAAATTCAAATTTTATGCCGTCGTGCGACATGGCCACAGTGGAGCGGCCTATAGGGGCAGCTTTGGGCGGCGACTTCTTAAAGGCCTTGTAATAAAGCTCTTAAAGTGTGCACCGGCACTCCTCGGTTTCGGTACGCGTCAGCAAGTTTTGCTTTTGAGTCGCGGCCTGGTGCAGTGCAAATAGGTGCGCTTAGTTTGCAGAGCGCGCGTATAAGCGCATAACATGATCATGTGCGGCGACGGGCACCACCATTATGCAGTCTCTCTATCGTAAAAATTACAGCTCGGCTACGGCTCGGAGCCCGTCTGACTTTCATTAAAGAGCAGGGATTGTTAACGCATTCTAAACTATGAGTGTAATAGGCCTTGGTATAATCTTGCGAAAAAATCTTTCGTCGATGCGATCTATAGTGCTTATGGTGCTCCACTGTGGGCTCAAAGGTTGCGATGTTGAATCGCGGCCGCGTCTGTGGCATTTCCATGGAGGCGAAATGCTAGAATCTCGTGTGCTTAGATTCAGGTGCACGTTAAAGAACGCCAAGGGGTCGAAACTTCCAGAGTTCCACGAGGGAGTCCCTGTTAATAAAATCGGATTTTTGGGACGTAAGAGCCCAGCAAATATTTATACTTGATTCAAATCCTGATGATTTCATATGTGGGGTTTGATGTCCCAAAACCACAATATGGTTATGGAGAAACGCTGTAGTGGAGGGCTACGGGAATTCGGACCACCTGGGGTTCTTTAACGTAAACCCAAATCTGAGCACTCGTTCCTACAGCATTTTCGCCTATGTCGAAAATGCAGCTGCCGAAGCCGGGATTCTATCCCGCGACCTGTGGGTCAGGAGCCGAGTACCTTAGCCAGTAGACCACCCTGGCGGGGCTAATCCAAATCCTGAAGATAGGGGGAAAAAAAGGAGGGAAAAGACTCTTGATCTACATCGATGCCGTGGAAGCATTTTGGTTTGAAGTAGAGATAATCCTTTCCATCTGCTCTCCCACACACAAAAAAAAAAATAAGTGAATAAACAAATATATATGCTAGATATCTTGTATTTTATTGTATTTTTTTTCGTTTGCTGCTCTTCCGCTCAGCTTTGTAGATATGTTCGCATGTCGGACGCCAAACTGTGTAGGTTTTTCGTGTCACTGTACCACAAGTTTGTCAGATAAAAGACTGGTGGGGCTTCTCAACAACAAAGTGTTCATGTTCATCTCGATGACCACTCAGAGCTGCTATAGGTCACAACCTCCCCTTACTCCCTACTTCTTACATCATTAGTAAAGTGCTTTGTATGACATTGCTAATTTATTTAGAGAAAAGCTTCGAATAATGCCCGCATTCGTTGCATATCTGATAACACATTGTGAAATCGGACCTCCTTCTCATGGTCATGGGCTCTATCTCGGCCGTGGTGATCGCATTTTGGTGGAGGCGAAATGTCACAGTCCCATGTATACTGTGCGGTGTCAGTGAAAGTTAAAGAACACCACATGGTCAAAATTCGCAGAGCGCTCCTCTATACGGCGTCTGTCATAATCATATCGTACTTTTGGGACGTAACTCACCAGTCCTCATCTTTATCCTAATGATCCTTCTCACTGCAACCCAATTCGTCCGTTTATTCTTTCATCCGTCCTACTAAGCTCGCATTCAACATTCATAGGCGTTTTTGGTGTAGCGTACTGCAGACATCGGATTCATTCTTTCTCTCTCTCTCTTCTTTTTCCCCCGTGCAGTCTGCGGCGAGACGGGCCGGAACAAGCTGTGCCAACTGCAAGACGACCACGACGACGCTGTGGAGGCGCAACCAGAACGGCGAACCCGTCTGCAATGCCTGTGGTCTCTACTTCAAGCTGCACAATGTAAGTCACGTAACACCACTGCCGTCTTTAGTACTGTGTATAATAACCTTCGCGGCGTAAACGCCATGCATGGCTCCCGCGGAGGAGCGCTTGCCTTGAGGACAAAACTGCCGACTCACGTGTAGTCGCGGACCGGCAATACTCGTGGATGCATGTTTCGCCAGTCTCTCCAGTCGTCTTATAACTAAACGACTCACGCAGTTTCCCAGACAACGGCCTCTGTTCTCGGCCTGCGCGGAGCCATGCATATAGCGCGGAGTTGTGCGCATTAGCACACAATGCTCGTATGCCGGATCAACTGTCGGAAATCTTTTCAGGCCAAAGTGTTCCGTTTTTAGCTTTCTTCATTGTGCATGTGCGTGGTATGAAACCTTAATCGAGAGCATGCAACCACTTTGACGTCAAGACCGTCTTGTTTCAGGTTTTCTTCGTCTCACGTTAACAACAGTCCTTTGTGTGGAACAAATGTAATACACAGAAACGTGCGCAACACTGTGTAGTTACATATATTCAAGATTAAAATATGCTCCTCTCCTTTTTTATTCATAGCATACACAACTGTTTATTATGAGAGAGACGGCGGAACTGATGCAGCACAAGCTTCACATCCCTGCTTGTGGGATTTTCTCGCAACTCTTTCCGGTGACCAGGACAGCTGTTTAATTGTGAGCCTTCAGTAGCATTGAAGCAGGCGCTCCGCACAACTTGATCCAATGTACACATACCGACAGCAAATGACCCACATCACGCCAAAGCGAAACGCTTCACAGTTTCGTAATTAAGCGTGCTTTATTAATGCCAAGGAGAAACTCTAAAGCCGTGTTATTCACTACCGGCTATGCGGGATTTTTAGTTGTTTTAGAGTCGTTTTTATCGCACTGCCACAAAACACGGTCGACACTTTATCCGCGGGAAAGTGACTGCCGCGTATCCGAGAAAGTGTAACTCTCAGCTTCCAAGTGTGATGACTGTGCGCATATGCATGTACAGTGGCGCTGATGACGTCATTGAAGTTACGGATTTCACGACGTTCATTTACACATGTCTGGTCTTTTTTCACACAGAGAAACCCGCATAAAAAGGCTGAGGAAGGCACCTCGTTAATTTAGCAATTTCGTTGCAAAACCACTGCAGAATATAGAAAACTTGAACTAAAGAGGATAGTACTGAATATATAGTTAGCATTGTAGTTCTATAGTCTCACGTGATCAAAGTGGCCTTTCGACCAACGTAGGGAAACCGCTTTCAAGAGGTGGCGGTGGATAAACACGCAAGCCCCGCGCACATTCACTCAACCACGCTGAATGTCGAACGTGAACGCTATAGTTGTTGCTTACTACTGCACCTGTCCCTGTCAACAAGTCGGGCCGTACGTCGTCGAGCGTGCCGACTAACCTCTCCACGCTGTCCCGAAATATGTGCGGGGCAAGACAAAAAAAAGTAAAATGATTAAGCGGAAGCAAAATGAGACGTGGGAACACGCTGGAGACAAGAGTGGGAAGATACCGTGCGTATATACGACGACATTTCTCCCTCGGACGGCAGGGCGCGCGATCGTTCGCGAGAACGCGGGAGTGCGGCGCTCAACTGCAACCATGGTCCATTAGACACAGCGGCCGACCGTTAAGCGACGCTTTAGGCGTCATCCATCAGGGACTTGCGAGGGTAAGCCCAGCAGGACGGAGGGGAGAAAAGAATCCCCAGTACAGGAGGCGGAAGAAGGTTGAAAGCTGTATGAGGGGGGGGGGGGGGGTTGAACCTTGGAGGGGGGGAGGGTAGTCAGTCGCCCTCTGGAGCACGGACGTACGCATGGAAGCCTTGACAGTAAAGCCAGCTTCCCCCCCCCCCCTCCCCACCCCGTCCATTTTGCCTGCTTGGTATATAGGCTTTATTCGCATTCTTTCAGAAACATGACAATAATAATAATAATAATAACAATAATACCTTTTATTTATTCAAATAAAACAGTACATGTGACTAGGCCTGCCAAAGCGAATTGGTGGCTTGAGTAGTCTTGTCAAAACCCAAGTAACGTGCATCGAGCAGGATGTGTAGTGCAACGGGGTAGCCAGGGAGTTGAACTCCGCCGCCTCTAAAATACTTCTCGTCGTGCATACATAGCGCAAAATAATCATTTGCCTGCCGGGCCCTAACTTTAGATCAACAAGGTGCCCCCCCCCCCCCACACACACAAAAAAAGAGGTGGGGGGAATCGCCTACAACGCTGGGGTAGTGGAACGAAACAGCGAAGAAACTGTTCACGTGGCACACTGTCGTAAGATGGTAAAGCGGCTAAGATACGTTTGGTTCAAAATTTTTGCACATTTCAAACAGAAAAGAATGTGTCTTTGAAAAAATAGAGAACGGAAGATATGAATGACAGAGCGAATGTTAGGTTAGGTTCCCGACACTGAAGAAACGTGTGAGGAGGAGAACTACGATAAAGAAACAGGGACAGAGAAAGAGAGGACGAAAGGTTGGTTTCCGCATTGTTGTTTTTGATTCAACGAAAAACATTAGGGTACGCATTTTAAGTGAGCTGCCAGAGAGTATTCTCTCAAATCATCAGAGTGAGGGCTACAGTCTCTTACTTTCGTGCTTTTAATCATGATAAAATCACGACTAAAACATGCAGTCTTAGTATATATATATATATATATATATATATATATATATATATATATATATATATATATATATATATATATATATATATATATATAGTATTAATCAGCATGCCGCATATTCGTTGTAATAAGTCACATATCTGTTGCACGGTTTGCGAAGGCAACGCTTGGTCGGACGTGAGGAGGACGGTAAAATAGGAGTACCTCGAGGCAGCTCCGCAGGCGACGCCAAGTACGTTGTCCTGGCATTCCGATTCTTGGCTAGAAGCCCCTCTCGTCTTGATTAGAGGGGACTCTATTTGCGACGTAGAGTTCGAAAGCTAGAGCGGCGCCGAAGAGTGCCGAGACAGCGGGCCGGATGAAACCGGGAGCGGGCGGTCGATAAGCTAGCGCGTCGAGTTCCGGCGGCAGCCCAGAGATAAGGCGGATCGAACGAAGCACAGCGCGGGCCGGGAAAACGGGGGACTGTGGCAACCGCACGCGCCGCTTTTCCGCTAGTGCGCTTGTCCGCAGCACTCGCGTGCACGGCCGGAAAGCCCGTCGGCGCTAGCTACTGTCTCCAATGGCGTTGACCCGAGGACCGGCGTGTCGCGATTCTGTCGACAGAGGCAACAACACGTCGTGGTTGCTCTGAGGATGAAAGGTCACGCTCTTACGCGCGAGGGCACGGGTTCGACTCCGCAGCAAGGCAGCTGTGTTTCGATTTGGCAGAAATATAAGAACACTTGTGTACTTTGGCTAACCGTAAGTGAATGATACTCGAGTGATGAATACTGACCCCCCCCCCCCCTCTTCTAAGGCAAGCCTCTCAATCGCATCGTAGTTTTTGTGCATACAACTACGGAATTGAGGTAGAGACACCATTGTTCATTCTGGTTCGCTGCTGAATGCAGGGCTTCTGACCATGCAGCGTAAATCAGCAGTTTTTTTTTAATGTATAAGCATAAATCATTCAAAATATAATTCATCAATAAGCAATGGTGAAACCAGAGGTCTGGGGGAACAAAGAACAGTGGTCGTTTCAGAAATAGAAAGAAGCTAACTACACTGTGTACGACTGCGCGGTCGGCACAAGAAACACCAAAGATTATCGCGTACTACTACAGTGATAACGTGCACAGGGCTCGGTATTTTCTTTGAATTATAAAATGGAGCCATGATCGGATGCTGGTGCCATGAAAAAATCAAGTACTATGGCTCTCAGCAGCTCACCATGGTGAGGCAGGCTTCTAAATGCTGCCGACATGTGCAACTTAGAAGGTCGTAGTGTTAGAGGCCTAAAACGTTAGAGAGAGAGAGAGGAGAAATTCTTTTTTATATATGCAAAGAGGTTGGGCTGAGCTATAGCTCTGGCCTGCTGCTCTAACAGGATTGGTAAGGTTTCACGTTTCTGCGCTGGAGCAATAGGAGTTGGAAAGTGAGAATGACATTATATTCGAATTCGCCTTTGAAGTTATTGTGGTTTTCGTCCGCCTAGGAAATAAATAAATAAATAAATAAATAAATAAATAAATAAATAAATAAATAAATAAAGTCTGTGACTCTGTAAACCAGCACGATGAAGCCGAGCTAACAAAGCCGAATATAGGGCGTGTTAAAAGTGCACTTCAGAATTGAGCCCTTTTCTCTAACCTGGCAGCCCAGCACCTTGTCATTGGCCTTTCGCTGATGCCGAATATCTCTACGGATCCTTTTCTTTTCAACCTTTTCCGTACGAGACTGCAGCGAAGCAAAAAAAAAAAAACGAACAAGGAAATCAAGACTGATACACAGGCAAGATAAAGCGTCCCGTAGCTCTCGTCCTCAAACTCATTAGCTCACCCTTTATTCCGTCGCATCTGTAGCCAACATTATGATTAACCTTTTTTTTTTATCGCCTTCCCCCGTGGCTCGTAGACATCGCTACATCTCCCCTCCATCGCTCGGTGTAATGACTTTGTTTTTACTCCTTGAACGCCCACCCGCGCAAAGCTTCCGAAGTACCAAGATTCACTGCAGTCATTAGAACCCCTTAAAAAAGAAAAGCAAGCAGCCAAACACCGCGCATAAACTCGGCCAGATTCGGCGGCGGCGTCCTGGTCATCGCCCCGCCTACGCCACGGGCGCTCGCCGTGTTGTGAACGAGACGGGTTTCATATTTTAGAGAGAGAGAAGGGAAACGGTCTCCGGCGTCGTGCGCCGCTGCGACAGGGTCGTGTCAGACCGACAGGCGCCGCGCAGAGCGGATGTGCGCCTCGAAACGTGCGCACGCGCGCGCGCGCGCAAAGCACAGCAAGCGCCGCCGAGGCGGCAGGGGTTCATTGGATGTCGCCGGCTGCTTGTTGGCGGGAAAGGAAGAAGGACGAAAAGAAGAAGAACAAGAAGTGTACGCGG